AGTATTAATGGAAGTATGACTGATATAATAATAGGTCTTATTACTTTGTTTTCTGTTGTCACAAAATATGTGAAGCTGGTTATTTTAAAAAGATAAAGATTCCTTGGCTCACTGTTCTTGAGAGTGAGACATAATAATGGTTCATGTTACTTTGTTTTCTGTTGTCTCAACATATCTGAGGCTGAACATCTTAATTGGGGTGGGTCTATTTGTTGGCCTCTGGTGAGAGTCTTGTAAGACATGATAATGACATGAACATACTTGTGGGATGGGAAGGTAGAGGGATTCAGGGCCTGCACAAACCGTAATAATCCCTTTTGAGGGTAGCCCTCTCTGTGTCGCCTGATTACCTTGCACTAGCATCTTCTCTTGATGGTCCCACCACCTTTCAACATCATCTGGGCGCCAAAGAACAAGGACATTATTCAACTCACCTCTGTCTGGATCACCATGGGCTAATGTTCTCCTGAACTCTCCAGTGTTGTCAAGTTAGAGCCACTTCATGTTTCCGTTTTACCATTGTAGTTCAGCCTTTCAGTTCAGAGGTCTTGTATTTGCATGTATTTAATGTGAATTCCTAAATGACCAACAACAGGAACTCTTCCTCTTAGGTCTTTCCACTCCAGTATATGTTCTTTGTTTCTTTTTTTTTTTCATAAGGTTTTACAATAGCAATAATGTAATTCAGATAAGCAATTATTGTAATTGACCTTGATGCTAAATGTCTTTGGCTTTTACCATAGTTTGCTTATATCCTGAGAATGGCCAATTATCTCATAATACCCACTTCATTGACATTATTGTTTTAATTATCACATTCAAAATATATCTCTTTGTCATCATTGTAGAGTCACACATGGGAATGTTACATACAGGCATTCAGAAGTGGGTTAAGAGTGCTGCACTTTATCTCAGGACAGGGTTGAGGTTGAAGTTTTTCTCCCTTACAGCTCTGACCTATGATTTTGGAATTTGCAGTTTCTTATCTGTTCATTATTGCATGATTGGCTGCAGGGCTAGCAAGTCTGGGATCTCCCTGAGCTGATTGTGTTCTTGCAGAGGTCCCTAAGGTAATGTGGTGCCAATGGCTATGCAGTTCTAGTTGATTAGGCATTCTGATTGATAGCAATCAGCAGTGGCTTGCCATTAGCTGACTCTGCCTTAGGTCATAGGTTGTCCACTGTGGAATCACCCAGGAGCTTTTTAAATATAATTGCTCTGGGATAGGGCCAAGGTGTTCCTCTCCCTCTTCCTTTTTCTCCATTGTGTTCTCCCTTCCCCTCCCTTTTTCTCTCTCTCCTTATGTGCAGCAATAGCTGAGAACCACTAGATTTTATCAGTGTAATTGTAAGTCATGTGGCTGGGTTTTTTTATTTATTTCTTTGATAAAGATAAGGATGCCGTTTGTCACATGACTTACATGGTCATATAAGCCCTATGAGGTTAGGAGTATTTTCATGGGGTACCTAAAACTCCTTTCTGAATTAAGAAACTATATCTGATTTAAGATGCATGAAGTTGGCTTTACTGACCAACCTGATTTCAGTTTTATGTACACATGCATACTTCTCCGAAGGAAGTCATTTAGCTAAAGCTCCGACATCTTCCTCTGATCTATCCTCTTCTCATCATAATTGTTCTGTGATCCAGCTTTGGATAACTGTAGTAGTTGCTAATTGGTTCCTGCTTCAAGCCACTAAGACCTTCTTTCATAATCTCATTCAGAATTTTGCTATTTTAATTTAACATGAATTGACGTGCATACAGAATTTATATTTTATGTTTATAATTCTTCTTATTTTTAATTACAAAGGATAGATCTAAAAAGATATTTTCTGTCCATGAGGCTTTCAAAATTCTTACTCTAGTTTAACTGAGAAGGAGTCTGATGGGAAGGTTTGAGAATTTAGACCTTTTCCAAGACCTTGGATTCATTTTTAAACCATGAGTACCTTTACTGCCTTTTGGTGACATGTAGAATAACCCAGGCCTTACTGAGGCCTAGTGGGTCTGCACAATTATCACCACCCTACTTTCCATACTGTCCTCTGAGACACAACACTCTGCCCTCCATGTTTTCTAGTTCTACCCTCTGATTTATCTCCTTTTGTAGCACAGAGTGTTTGCACTTATTTTTAATTTATTTTATTGATAACTTAGGTTATGTTCCCTATTTAAGGTCCTTTGCCTGTTCTTTTTTCTGTATCCTTAGTGTCTTGAGCCTAGCAAAATACCTGGCTACCTACCAAGGTGCCTCTCACTTATCATTATACTTGAATTCTTGTTGGAGTCATTTGTCAAGTTGTGTGAACGTGGAGATGCAGGTGTATGGCACATTTCTGTCACCATGAGTCAGGATTGTTCTAGAGGCACATTTAACTTGAATTCTACAGACTGGGGAGAAGGAAGCACTAAGATAAGTGTGTAGCTAGAGTCAGAGTTGAGAGCATGCTTCTTCTTTCCATATGTCATAGCAGGTCAGTCTCTCAGCTTCCAGCTGCCCAGAGGGGGTTCTTGGTCAGGGCTTAACCTGTGCCTTTTAGGGCAAGTTCCAGAAGTAAGCAGAGAAGGGCAGCGTACCTTCCCCTTCATATAGTTATTACAAGCAACTGTCATTGGCCTCCATAGTTCATGCCATAAACTGGATAGTTTACACAATAGAACTATACCTCTTAAAAGTTTGGAAGGCTCGGTAGTCTTTGTCAAGATATCTCCCATCAAGAGTCTTGACGAAGGGCCCATTTCTGAGTCATAAGCAGCACCTAGCCATGTTTGTCATATTAGTGGGAAGAGCAGATACTTCCTCTAGTTGTCTAACAAGCTTACTCATTCAACTCATAAGGCTCCACACTTGACCTAATCCCCTTTCACAGGTCCCACTTTCAAATACAAACACATTGGGCTTTAGGTGTTAACTTAGAGTTGTATTGGAACATAGGCATTTAGACTGTAGCCAGAAATCTTTATAGAGCATAAACCCTTATCTCCGTTGGGCAGCTTTGAAAGTAGAAGCTTGGAAGGGTTGCCTGACCCAGAATCACATAGCTTATAAATGTTAGACCAAAACCTGAAACCACAGTTCACACACTAGAGCACATGCTTATTGCATGATGTACTTCTTGAGATTCTATGCCATGGAAAGCTGGTGTCTTGTTACCTTTCACTTCCCAAATGTCTGTGCTGTGTCATTTGAATAATCTTTTGTTCTTGGAGACATTCTTGAAAGTCCTAAACTGGAATCTTCTGAAACAGATCACTGCTCCTAAGATACTACAAGCTAAATACCAGATCAGAGAACATTGAACTTATTAATGGAGGACAGCCTATGATGGGATGTTTATACACATATGTGCATATATGAAGAGAGACGAGCACAGAAGCCATGCCTGAGTTACAAATTACTTATATTCATTTATTTGGTTAGCAAATACAGCATTGTCCTTGCACTACCAAATGAAGTCCATTGAGCCATTTTAGTTTTTAATTGCAAAAGTGTACTCCTAGACTAGCGTTTTTTCTTTTTAGTAAAATGGTGATTAATCAAATAGTATTCATTTTATTTCTCCATACCACAAGAGTATTTTCTTCTAGTCCATTTTCAGCATGCTGCAATTTTGCACCAATTAGTTTGATGCTGAATTGCATTTAGTTCCATTCAGTTCTGTTTACTGAGTAGCACTGTAGTGATTAAATGTCGTAGAGTACACCAAATATACAAAAGTAATTAACCCAGAAAGGACATGTTTAGAATAAAGGTCAATAGCCTCTTTAGCCCATAGTGCCAACCGCAGGCTAAGTGTTGACAGAGGTGTTGCTGGTAGGTCTGTGTGTGTGTGTGTGTGTGTGTGTGTGTGTGTGAGAGAGAGAGAGAGAGAGAGAGAGAGAGAGAGAGAGAGAGAGAGAGAAGGTCAAATGGAGGAAAGGGAGAGTATTCACACTTGTCTGCTATGGTAAGTAGAATGAAATATGGAATGCTAAGATTTTTCTCATCAGATTGTAGTGGCACTGTACTTATTGTTTAGAAAGCGGGTGGGACAATAGACTGCAATTTTGACTTGCCTGTCAACATTTCAGCACTGATAGTGCCAAGATCTTTCTTGGTTTAACCAGAGTAATCTTTTTTTAAAAATTAAGATATATAATCACATCACTTTCTCTTTTCCCTTTCCTCCCTCCTCTCCCAAGTTTTTCCAACTCTTTCCATGTACCCAAAGCCCAACTCTCAAATTTATAGCCTCTTCTTCCCTGTTTTATTATTGTTGCATATATGTACATGTATGTATGTATATACATCAAAATATAAATACAACTGGTTTAGTCTGTTGTTTATGGGCATATGGTAACTAGAGTAATCTTGATGCAGACTAGGTGACTCACCCTTTCTTCCAGAGTTTTATACCCAGTCAAACCTGCATCTGCAGATCTGTCATTGAAAAGCTGTTGCTTAGTCATTTCTCTTGAAATCTTTGCTCATATATCTAAGCATTTTTATCTCTTATGTTTTCATCCCTCTATATTTGAGTCACCATCAATCACAGTTAATATTAATGAATTATTAATATATAATTAAAACTGCATAAAACAGCAGGTAGTTGATATTGTAAAAAAATAAAGAAAAAAATTAATAGAAAGCTTTTTCTCAAGGATTGCATCTTTCTGTTTTATAGTTAGCTATTTTTCCCCCATTTGTATGTGATGATTTAGCTGCCCAAGTGGGGAAAAAGAAGATTTTCCATTTAAGTAAAAGCCTTAGGATGAAATCCCTAGGGATTATTATTTTTAAATGACCATCACAGAAAAATTACTAGGTCCTTGGGAATCACACCTTTTCACTGGTCAATCTTCAGAGAAAAAGTGCTTCTCCCTAGCTACAGACAGCTATTGACCACATGATAAGCAACAGGGATGAAGTTAACTGAAAATGGCCCCTCTTCTGCCAGAAATGTATCCCTTTTAGAATAATGAAGGAAATTGGTGGCCTTGATATGTTTCTTCAACAGCACTCACCATATATGCAGTCAGAGGCAAGGCTGGCACAGACCCTGAAAGAAGACCTGCACCCTAGATTGGTGGAGTTGCAGCAAAGAAAGGTATCACTTTGGATTCACCTCTACCCAACACTGCTTACCTCTGTTTCAGTTTTATGTTTCCCATTGTTTCCTCTTAATACGTTTTCAGCCTAGTTCACTTTCAAAATCACCACTTTGAAAGCCTTCTTCCTTTGGTGTGGCCTACCTACACAAACTCCCATCCACCCCTTCACAGACACACAACTATTAAGACCACAGAAGTGATTATATTGAATGTCAAGGATTCAAAAGACTACTATCAAACAGTATACACTTGCTACATATGTGTACTTTCCAGTATCTAGGTAATGAAAATCACATGTGATGGAGAGCATACTCCATGTTCCTTTGTTCAACAGCTTTAATGAGGCAGTGGTGCAGAAGCCAGGAAAGGAGATGAGAAGCCGAAAGGGAGATCACATGAGGTCCAGGCCTGGCATCACAGGTCAAGAACTTTCACAATATGACAATTAACTGATACAGAAAAACTGAAAAATTCTTAGCCTCACAGGCCAGAAAAGAAAATTCTTGCCAGAACTTGCATAAAACTCTCAAGTGAAAAGACTTGGGTGTCTACTATAACAAAGAAACTTCCAGGTGAATTGGGAAAAGTAGATAGGAACTGTTCTACCTGCCCTATCATAGGGCTGAGGACTTGCAATGTTAATGGGTATTTATTTCTCTTATGACTTTTGGATTTGTGTTGCCTAATATGGTAACCACAAGCCACACGCACCTGTCAAGCAACAGCAATGTGGCCTTTCCAAGATAAACTATGAGTATAAACTGCAAACCAGCCTTTGAAAGTGCAGTACTAAAGAGGAGAGATTATAAAATATCTCAAATGATTATATTGATTATGTATTGATATAGTATATTTTATATCTGGAGTTATATATGTAATTGAAATTAATTTTACGGTTTCTTTTACATTTAATACTGTGGCTACTAGAAAAATAAGTACATGTGTGGCTATATTGCATTTATATTGACAAATTCTATTCTGAGATCCAACTCACTTTTTGTTGAAAATTTATCAGTTGTAATCATTAGAAACTAGCTATTCTGTCCTAACATGAAGACCAGAGGTTCAGATTGACAACCTTCAACTACTAGGCAGTTTGTATTTAAATTGGTTGATTTTTTTTTTATTTCCTTCTGTGTTCCTGAAGAAATGCTATCATACATTGTATAGAACATTTGCAAGAATAACACAGAAGAATACATATGAGGTTTTTTGTAGCTAACACTCTCAAAATGATATATGTTTAACCTTATGTAGATTGAAATATTTTACTAGAAAAAAAACAACATGAAAAGACCAAGGTAAGGATCCTGATATATTAAGGTATGGCTTGCCAAAGCTTGGTGCTAAGTCATTACCCTGTTTTAATTCTTCTAAACAGCTGTTGGGATTATATTGGTATTTATATACACACACAAACAAAATATAGCACAAGATAGTTCTTAAGCAATTTACCCTACCAGAAAATTCTTAAAGCTCGCCACTTTGGTTTTTAGGACAGTCAAATTTATATACCCCATTGAAGGAGAGTTAGTAGCATTGATAATAGGGCAGTAGGTAAAAGAGTAGTTTAGGCTATATCTTCCATATTTTTATTCTTCCAAAAGAAAATGACCAATGCGTATAACTCTAATTAGTGTAGAGTCCACATACAAATATTTTAAGTATCTTGTTAATGAGGGCAGAGAATTCTTGGGGAGAACAAAAGCACATGACTGTATTAAATTTTGCAAACATGAAGGCCACTGAATTGAAAGGCACAGAATGAACTGGACAATTAAACATTTGTGTACAATAAAAGTTGTATTGCTTGGCAAATGTTTATTACAGTTTCTGTTAAAATTGTGATAATCAAGGCGAAGTACTTACACACACACACACACACACACACCAAACCCTGCACCATTGCCTCTTCATGTGGCCCATAGCTTGGACCACATGCAGGGTGCCTGTCATGTGAGGAAAGCTAAGACACCTGTATAAGAGTCAAGCTCACTCACTTCTTTGGCATCAAAATGTCATGTTCTTGCCCCCAAACTACCAGAAAAAAAGTAAATGTATTTAATGAAATTTCTGGTGCAGAGCCAACAGTCTTATTCCAGGAAGAGGAAATAACAGTCAAGAAACCTCAAGAGGACATTAAGATAATGTTCTAATTTAAAATCAATTGTATTGATACCTTATAAATTATTAGGGCATTTTATCCTGACCAAGTAATGTGTAATGCCAAGACCACAAAAACAAAGCATGAATGGCCAAATATCAAAGTGCTGTTTTACTATTTCATGAAGTAAAACAATGTATATGTCTTTCGTATTATAAGTACTTTGACTTATGATGGAAAGGCAAGCTGTGGAATTCATTTATCTCTTTATTTCTTCACTTCATGTATATTCAGTAAATCCTTGTTGAGTGAAGATTGTGCAGTAGTTTCCACCATTGCTCTTCATATAGGCTTATTATAATAGATGCTAAGTATTCTGCTCATAATATGAGCTCTTCAGGCCTTACTGAGACCTTAGAGCAATGCCCCCACTCTAGCCCTACCTGCTGGGAAATGAAAACTTCAATAATTGTAGTAAGTTCTAGCTAATAAAAACTGATGCAGGCCAGTCTTAAACCAAAGGCTATCTGACTATGTCCACAGTGTGAAAACTGGAAGTGCTGTTTCAAAATCACCTATCAGACTGTTAGTCACTCTGGTTTAATTATATGCAGCAGTTTGTCTTGACCCAAGTTTCTTACTAGAAGAGAAACAGAAAAATAACAATAACAAATAATAACAAAAACTTAAGAGTATGTCCTTCATAAATTGCTACAAAGATGAAACATAGTAAAGGTAGACTTCATTATATAGAAATTATATTAAATATTCTTTTAACAAGGGCAGATCTTCACAAAGTTCCAGCTATTTTTGAAGGTGAGTTTTGATTTATGTTAATTTGAAAAAAAATTTCTGTGAGATTGTCTGCAGAGTATGCTTTTTCTGACAGCCATAATCAAGCACGTCATTTAAATAAAAGTCTTGGTGTAATGAGCAGTAAACCAACACCAGTGACTGACTCAGAGTTTTGCCACAGTCAACAGTAATTTAATTTACATAAATCTGCATGTGATATGAATTGTCATGTGAGACTTATGCATTTTGACCAAATGATTTTCATTTTTAAGATATTATATTTCTCACAGCTGAGGTTCATTCATTTGCTCTCTGGAAATATGAATATTTTGGTTATTAATAGTCAATAAAAATATCAATCACATTCTCCTGGGATATGGTACTATGTTAGTTTGTTGTACATAAATTTATTGGGCAGTCAATGTTTTTTAGAAACCTGGAGCATTTGTAAAATGTGCAGTGCTTCATCACTGAGACACAGCAGAACTATGATTTTCTGAAGTCAGGGGCTGGAGGAGACGACTCAGTAGCTAAGAGCACTTACTGCTCTTGAAAGGAACTGAGTGTAGTTCTCAGCACCCACGTGACAGCTTACAGTCATTCTTACCTCCAGTTCCAGGGCATTCATAACACCAAGCATGCCCTCCCTCAGTGTTCATACATACTCTCGGGCAAAAAACTAATGCTTGTAAAAGGAAAATAAATCTTTTTGAAAGAAAGTAAGTTACTAGTCATTATTTGCTTTTTTTGGTATAGGTATGCATTTTCAGCTTGTCTAAGAGGTTGCAGAGGATATGTTGATTCTGGACTTTGGTTGTAGCATCAGTAAAAGGACCTGTTGGTATCTTGGTCCTCCTCTGACTTCTCTGAGTTTACCATGACCCACTCATACTAAGGTTTGAAACTACCTTTCAGTTAGAGTAACAGTGTAATTTGACATCTAAATGATTATTGTTGACATAAAAGAAGCCTGGAAAATAAAACAAACTCCAATCAGATTTTCATGGTGCCCCTTGGCTCTTCATTGTCCCTGTTTTCCTGACTAAAACCTGACTTACTCTTAAATGCCTAGTAGATAATGAAGGCAACACCCATGGCCAGTGAGTGAGTTTTAGGATTTTTTTTTTCATGTTTGTCTGTTTGTTTGGGCAGGGCACACACCTGCCACAGAGTATGCATGGAGGTCAGAGGAGGAAGAGTTCTATCTTACCTTCCACTATATGAGTTCCAGATCATAAACTCAGGTTGTCAGGCTTAGTGGCCAGTACCTTTACCCGCTGAGCTAGCTGTCTTGCCAGCCCAAACTTTTAGGGTTCTTTATCTTAGATGTTCATTCAAATTTTAGCATATTATTTCTACTTAGGACCATTAAGTGGGCAGTGATGTCTAAGCATAATACATTTGTTAATGAAAAGCAGAATTAATTTGGGGGACATTTTAAATCAAATTTTAAAATCCCATGTGAATATGGTATTTATAGTTCTTTCTCTGTCATATAGAATCAGAACTTTACTGTGATTGTTGAAAGGTACTCTTTGGTTTATTGAAATCCTATCCTCATGGGCCTTTGGAATGTATGTGTTGAGGGGAAGTACTACAAAGTGCCTGAAATAGTCCTCACATGGACCTTCTTTTTCACAATCTGTAGTAAATAGAAACCATAGTATAGTGAGGTATCAGCATTACTGTCATTGAGAGGCTAGGCTCTGTGCTTAAGACTATTTCTTGACCTTTAAATAAACTGTTTTTCTTCATCCTCAAAGAAGCCCAGTGGGTGAAGATAGTATTTTACTATCCCAAACTACAAAAAGATTGAGTGAAGGTAAACATTATTCCTGGGGCTACAGGGCTGTTAAATAGAAGACTCCATACTGTCTGACTCCAGAGGTGCTCTTGACTGCTATTACAATTAGTGTTCCCTGTTATTAAAATTAGCTAATTATATTAGTATGGCCTTTATAGAACTCTTTCCCATACAAGCCATCTTTGATCTGGAAGTGGACAGGTGTTGGAGTTGTTGGAAGTATTAGTTCTATAGCAAATTTGACCAACAGCCTAAGTAAAATCTAAGGTGGATTTCAGAATGAGGACTAGAAA